GGGCTTGAAGTGACACGAGCTGGGGGGGGGGTTCTGAGCCAGGGGGGCTCTCAAAACAGGGAGGAAGGGCAGCAATTACACATCTTCCCCGAGCCGGGTTGGGATGATGCGAGGAAAGTACGTTAACAGCCCGAGGGGAGAGAAAAATAACAGATCACAACCTCAGTCCGGGTAAATTTGCAGATCTCTTGATGGTTTCCTGCTCCCTGAAAGGATTCTTGCTGATTTACACCAGCTGGAAGAGCAAGGCTGGAGCATCCCTGCATGCTGCGAGGGGCAGGACTGGCTGGGGGGGCCCGCGTCCCCGGCTGGGGTGATGCCCATGCGTATGGCGTCGGGTCTGTCCCTGATGGAGCAATTGCTGGTGGTGCTGATGTATTTTTGGGAGCGATTCTGTCAGGCTGGTGGGTAGGAACGAGTGCATCAGCCATGAGTGTGGCTGGGGCATTAGTGTTGCAGGACAGGAGAAGGAGGAGCTTTGCTTCAGCATTCCAGAGTGAACCTGTTGAAGGACAAACCAGAGCCACAAATCAGCACTAATGCCAAGGGTGCTGAATTTGGGGCTGTTGGGAAACTGGGATGAGCCCATAAATCTCCTCTGGCCCATTTTACCACTGGCAAAACATGGATGTGGTGGGATGGAAATGCACCCCCAGCCTATGTTCACCTCTAATCCATGGTGCACTGGAAACGTGACGTCCCAACCCCATTTTCCCTTCTTGGTCCCTCACTGGCTCTGTGGAGGATCCCTCACATTTTGGACACAATTAGCTGTTCAGTCATAAAAATTGGGGTCTAACCCTTGGGACAAGTGTTCTATGGACACCCCACCACTGGTACAGGGACCTTGGTCACCCTGAGAGCTGGTGCTTGGGTTCTGCTGCTGGAACATCAGCTCCTGCCTGGAATAAATAACCTAAAGATGCAAAAGGGAAGCCAAGGTTTCTTTATGGTACATTTAATTTTCCAGCAGCTGAGTTACCCCATTACCCCCCTTTCCCTGTGCTGAAGAAAAGCTGCTTATGCAATTTCTGCTGTTCTCTTTGTTTGCACGCTTGCCAGGAGGAACTACTATTCTTATTCCTATTACCCGTAAGTAAGCGTTATTCTTTTTCTCCTTTGCCCCTTCCTCCCGGCCGCCTCCCTCACTCTGCTGCTCCAACAAGTCCTTTTCTCTGCCACGTACATTTTAAGAGCCTCTTTGGCTTGGGGAAAATAATGCTGCCGAGCTCGTTAAGAGACCAAAGACAGCGTGATGGGGAAGGGTCAGCGGCTGAGGGTTGAATTCTGGATTTTGGCAGCATCTTGCAGTGTCCCAGCCCCACCAAGATGTTGATGTGGGCTCAGATCTCATGTTCATCCATCCTCTGGTTTAATCTCTGCACTGGCTTCTTGGGATCCTGGTGTCTCTCAAACACACTCAGTCAGTCTTCTTTCCTTTTGTCCTAAATGTCTCATATTTGGGGTGTGAGGTTTTGTCCCAGCAGGAGCTTCTGAATTTTCCCAGCATCTTCATTAAGTGCCTACTGGGGACCTTGCATGAGGGGAAGAAGCCTCGCCAGTGGGTGCTGAGCACGTGTGCAGTCCAGGGTCCAGCCTGTCCCTTGGGATGGGTTTGTTCCCCTGCATGGCTTTAAAATCATCGAGTGGTTTGGGTTGGAAGGGACCTTTCAAGACCATCTAGTCCAGCCCCTGCAGTGAGCAGGGACATCTTCAACCAGGTCAGGTTGCTCAGAGCCCCGTCCAACCTGACCTGGAATGTTTCCAGGGATGGGGCTTCTACCACCTCTCTGGGCAACCTGGGCCAGTGTCTCACCACCCTCAGTGTAAAACATTTCTTCTTTATACCCAGTCTGAATTTCCCTCTTTTAGTTTAAAACCATCACCCCTTGTCCTGTCACTACAGGCCCTGATAAAAACTCTGTCCCCATCTTTCTTATAAGACCTTTTAAGTGCTCAAAGGCCACAATAAGGTCTCCCTGGAGCCTTCCCCAGGCTGAACAACCCCAACTCTCTCAACCTTTCCCCACAGCAGAGCTGTTCCAGCCCTCTGATCATTTTTGTGGCCTCCTCTGGACCTGCTGTAACAAGTCCATGTCTTTCTTCTACTTCTTGCACTTGTGCTGTGCAGCAGAGTGATGCACATGGTGTGTTGGATGGTCCATGTTGCAGTGAGGTGGTGTGGGGTGATGGGTGGGTGATGATGCCTGGAGAAGTGGAGCTGCCCTGTGCAATGCCAGCCAGTTGAGAAGAGCTTTTGCTTGCCCAAGGAATGCTCCTGACTGGTATTTTGGGGAGGGGACAGGAGAGAACATTGAGGATGAGCACCTGGAGTTGATGCAGCCAGTGAGGGATGATCCATGTGGGGCTGCTACTAGCTCAGAGCATTGAATACCAAAGTGTGGTGACCACTGGGGGAATTAATCCATCCTGCTCCCCGAAATAATCCAAGCTTGGTAGCTTTGAGGGCATCTTACAGCACCGTTGGGTCAGCCCTGCTTATGTGTGCTTCTTCTCCCTCCTCTCCCTGCAGCAAACCCGTCAACATGACCAAAGCGACCATTAACTACCGCCACGAGAAGACACACATGATGAGTGCCATCGACAGGAGCTTCACCGACCAGAGCACGCTGCAGGAGGACGAGCGCCTGGGGCTCTCCTTCATGGACACCCACAACTACAGCAACCGGGGTAAGGACAGGGAACCGTGGCGTGGCCAGCATGGGCTGCCTGGCACTGGGGACATTGGCATCTGTTGGACATAGGGGAAGCTTCTGTCAGTTCCTCATCAAGAAGCCACCCCATTTCCCCCCACCTCTACCCAAACCTGGCCATGCAAACCCAACACAGCTGGGTCTCTGCATCTTATAGAATCATAGAATGGTTTGGGTTGGAAGGGACCTTAAAGCTCATCCAGTTCCAACCCCCCTGCCATCAGCAGGGACACCTTCCACTAGACCAGGTTGCTCAAAGCCTCATCCAGCCTGGCCTTCAACACTTGACCTCTTGAAGTGGAGATCTGAGCTTGTGACTGGGAGGGTTAAAGCCATTTGTGGGCTGCAGCCCCCTGAAGCTGGGTGAACCCCAACTCTTCGCTTACGCTGAGGTTACTCTCTACTCCGGGGGTTCTCCACAACCTTTTGAAGGGTTAAAGAGCCACTGCGTTCACATCAGAGACCGATAATTTAACACCCACTGGAGCAGGCATCTCCGTGCTGATTTAGTTGTAAAATAACTCGTCGGATGCCCCAGTTTTCAACCATATGCTAATAACATCTGCTACAGTAACTTCAAGATGCTGCTTTACCCACAGCTCTTCTCTTCTCCACCGGCTGCGGAATTAATACGCTTCCCGGCATTGTCTGGCGGATAATAGAAGCCTAGAGGGCAAACTTCTCCTCTTAACCCATCTAGCTGGGTGTATTATTTTTTGGTTACTGTCCTCAGATTACTCATAGGTTGGTGGGGCTGAGCTGGAGGTGCTGGTCCTCAGTTTCTTTAGGGAAAGGAGCTGTGGGGCTGCATCCTGCTCCCATCTTCTTGCTTGCTCTGCTGCTGGCTGCTCCTCATCCCTTTCCTTGGTAGAGGAGGAGATGTGGGGAGCTTGGACTCTTGGCCACAGCTGGGGACAGGCTCTGCTGTGGCCACCCCCTGCCTATTAACGTTGTTAATTAATGAAGGTAAATGAACAAGCTGCTCCGTGACCAGCTTGGGGCTGTTCCCCACCGTGGCTCAGTTTCCTTGCATTGAAACAAAGTCAGTGATGCTTCTCACAGAAACCAAAGTGGGTCCTCAGCCTGTGGCGGCATGGAGCCCTTGGCACCTTGCAAACACCTGCAATTAATTTCCTCGTTAAAGCCAGTGGCTGGTGTGGCCATCAGGGGCACAGCATGACCCTCCCATGTTGTCCCATTGGTTCTGCCACACGTTGGCAGCCTGCAAGGGAGATGTTTCTGGTTGTACAGGTTGGAGCATCATCTCCTTCAGGGCTGTGATACCTGATGGAGACCCTGCTCTGTGCGTGCCAGGACAATGATGGAGTCACCATCCCTGGAGGGATTTGAAAGCCTTGTAGATGTGGTGCTGTGGGACATAGTTTAGTGGTGGACTTGGCAGTGTTGGGTTTATGGTTGGACTCAGTGATCTTAAAGGTCTTTTCCAACCAAAATGACTCTATATGTGCTGCACCCAAATCGCACCCGCGCTGCACCCACGTTGCACGGGGCAGCCAGGAGGTGTGGGCAGGGGGTGAGGGGCTGCTTCTTCCATTTGAGCAGACCAAAAAAATCCAAGCCTGAGAACTTTGTGAGATGACAAGGGTGGTTTTCAAAAGTGACGTTAGGAGAAACTGCATCCAGGATGCACCACCTCGCAAAGCTGCTTTGGACGTGTCATGGTGGTCGAAGCTGGGTTCTGCAGGATCCCTGCTCGCTGCATCACTTGACAGCAGCAGGTTTGGTAGAAACCCAGATTTCATGATCCGGTGTAGGACCTTGCTCTGCCAAACACAGGCGAGGTCTCAGTCTGGCTCTGCTGGTAATGACACAGCAGAAGCATAAACCAGGTAAATACCGTGTCAGCTCCTCCGTGAAACAGCAGCGAGCTCCATCTATGTCAGTGCTGGGAATAAGGCACTGGGATCTAACAGGGGGGAAAATTAACTGGTGAGCTGAGCTGGAGATTTTGCCAACGTGATTTTTTAAATCAGGACTTTGTGTGAATATTTGGGCACGTAGCTCTTACTCGGCTGGATGGGAGTTAATTGCTCCAGCTGATGGGAAATAAGCTTCTTAACCCCCTTAAGGTCTTGCTCAGTGATTTTGAAGAGGTTTGCTGTGGTCCTGAAAGGCTGGAATGGGTGTTTTTGGCTTCGTGGTGTAGGAAGAGCTGCAGAGAGCACAGGGGGGTCTGAACTGCTCGTGGTCCCCGCAGAGAGACCAGCTACAGCTCCAGCATCTCACAGAATCCCAGAATTGCCTGGATTGGAAAAGCCCTTTCAGATCATCGAGTCCAATCATGAACCCAACACTGACCAGTCCCTGACTAACCCATGTCCCTCAGCACTGTGTCTACACGACTCTTCAATCCCTCCAGGGATGGGGACTCCACCACTGCCCTGGGCAACCCCTTCCAATGCCTGAGAACCCTTTCAGCAAAGAAATTCTTCCTCACATCCCATCTCAACTGCCCTGGCCACAACTGGAGCCCATTTCCTCTTGTCCTGTCCCTTGGTCCTTGGTTGAACAGACCCACCCCCACCTCTCTCCACCCTCCTTTCAGGGACTTGGACAGAGCCAGAAGGTCTCCCCTCAGCCTCCTTTTCTCCAGGCTCAACAACCCCAGTTCCCTCAGCCGGGAACTCATCACACTTGTGCTCCAGACCCTTCCCCAGCTCCGTTGTCCTTCTCTGGACACGCTCCAGCACCTCCATGTCCTTCTTGGAGTCAGGGGCCCAACACTGAACCCAGCACTCAAGGTGCAGATATTGCCAGGTGTCCTCTTGTCCCTCCTCTATGGGTGTGAGGAGGTGATGGGGATGTGCTCCAAGGCTTTGCTACCCTGACAGCTCCTGGTTCTCCCTCCCCTTCTGCAGGTGACCAGCGCAGCAGCGTGGTCAACGAGTCCAGCAGTTTGCTGGGTGGCTCCCCCCGCCGCCAGTGCGGCCGCAAAGGGTCCCCGTATCACACCGGGCAGCTCCATCCCGCTGTGCGCGTGGCGGATCTCCTCCAGCATATCAACCAGATGAAGACAGCAGAAGGATACGGCTTCAAGCAGGAGTATGAGGTGGGAACATCTTGATGAGAGTGTCTTATGCTGGTGTCTTGAGGAGAGTGAGAGGTACGATGGACAAGGTGGCATGGGTAGGACCCGTGTGCAAGGAGAAGATGCTCCAGATCTGGAGCTGCAGTGCTGTGGACAGCAGGAGCCAGAGCTCATGGCTCTCTGGGCAGATATCATCAGCACATGGGGTGTTCCTGGGTCTGGATCAAATCTCTGGTCCTGGCAGCCCAGGATTTAATTGTCAGTTTGAACAAGTCCCTGAGATGAGCCAAACCATCCCTGCCAGCCCACACCTCTCCTGTCTGCAGTGCTTCATCCCACCTCTCCTGCAAAGGCTGGGGATGCTTCTCCCACTCTCAGGTCCTCCTGGGCACCATGACACCATGTTCTTCTGTTCTCCAACAGGCTTGTCCTATGATAGGCATGGCCATAGCCTAAGAACAGGCAAATCCTCTACAAGCTGACAGCTCCCATGAGAGTGAAGACCCATGGGAGAGGGTGATCCCAGGGGGAGGGAAGTCTCCCCTGAGGGTTGTTGACTGCATCATGCTCATCCCACCTCGTTGGGTGGGAACGGAGTGTGCTATTCCCCACACCTCTGCTGCAGAACATCCAGTGGAGTTGATTTCCCGTCTCCCCAGTGTCCCACTGGTCTGGCGATTGCAATTTCCCAGTGAAATGACTGTTTAATGCTTCGTTGTTTCAAGTACAGGAGCTTTTTTTTCCCTCCCCCCCCCACCCCCCACCTTTTCATGTACTGGACAAACCAGGGTTGGCTCTAATCATTAATGCTCCTTGAAAAGCTGCTGTATGTTCTTGGAACTAGTAATTTGAAAGCACTCAGATATTATGGGAGGGGAGAAAACATGTAATTTCCTTCCACTTTCCTCCTCTTAAGCCAATCTATGAATGTTGCTGTTATTACACACAAACCTATTCTGTGCTGGGGAAGAGAAAGGGACTGGGGAGGTTTAGAAAAGAAAAAAAACAACCAACCAACCCAACACAACCAACCCTGGAAAAAAAAACCCCAGGAGGTCTGTGATTTGCTGGAAAAATGGGACATTTTGTGGATGCAACAGAAACGTGGAGCTGGTAGAACAGGTTATGGAGATGGAGTGGGGGCTGCAGGACTCTGGGGTGGAGGGATCACGTTGTCTGCATTGCTCCCCTGAGGTTGTGGGGTTGAGGGAACCCAAGAGTCCTGCCCTGGGGTTGTGATGACCATCCTTTCCTTCCAGAGTTTCTTTGAAGGATGGGATGCTTCGAAGAAGAAAGACAAGACCAAAGGGAGACAGGATCACTTATCGACATGTGAGTGCCTTTAGCAAAGGTTTAGACACCCTGAACAGATGAAAAAAACCTTCTAAAGGGCTTTGGGGGCTTTTTTGAAAAGGTGTCTGGTCCATGGCAAGGAGTAAATTGGTGGGGTTTGGTTGGTTAAGGGCAGCAGAAAGGTCCTTGCTCAGTGCAGGGGTCCCAGCCTGAGAACTCCTCTTGGGCATCAGCCACTGGAGCAAATCGGAGGGATGGAGTTGGGACAGAGTTGACCACTGGAGCTGGATAACTCTTGGAGACAGAACATCTTGAGTTGTTTTAAAATTGATGATAACATCACTGTGATATTTGGGGTGGTGCTGGAAAGCCCCAGATAACCTGGAGTGATTTCTGAGACACTGCAGCTCTGCCCCAGGGAGCTTCTGGTGTGGACGTGTGGGATGAGCTGAAGGGGTTAAATTATGAGTTTTTAGGCCAGAAGATTGGGGAAGGGCTTGACCCCACTGGAGAGAGGATACTCCTCACCAGCTCCCTTCACAGTCAGTGTGGCATGGCCGCCTTGCTCCCTGCTGCATCTCTGGTGATGTTCCTGCAGGGATGGAGACACCAAGCCCAGCCCTCCAGGAGCTCTGGTGCTCTCCACCTCCCATGAGCTTTGCTCTGCAGCTTCATCCCTTCCACTCCAGCTCTGTCCAGGGCCCCAGGTGGACACCAAAGGTTGGGCAGAACTTTTCACTCACCTCTCTGGGCTGTGGCCATCCTGGTGCCATGCTGGGGTAGACAACAGGGTGTTGAAGGGTAGGTACCCTCGGTCTTTGGTAGGACTGGGCAGAGCTCAGGTTGATACTGTGCTGAAAGCCACTCATCCATGTCCCTTCTGGTCTAAACCACCATCTTTGGAAGGACCTCCACCAGCTTGTATTTATTGTTCCTGAATATGTCCCACCTTCCAGAGTTTTGCGGATTCTTGGTGCAAAATAATTGCAAAGGGTGGCCAGGAGCCCTGGGACCTGTTGGGGTGGCGTGCTGTCCCCATGCTCATGCCCCTGGGTGCTAACGTCCCTTCTCCCCTTGCTCCCCAGATGACCGTCACCGAGTGAAGCTGCACCCGCTGCTGGGAGATCCCAACTCTGACTACATCAACGCCAACTACATCGATGTACGTGGGGACGGGGCTTCTCTCTGTGGGGGGAACTGGGCTGGGACAGGACCTTCCTGTGGACCCTGTGGACTGTCAGGGTCTGTCCAGCAGCGTTTGGAGGAGCTTAGACAGCCCAAGGTGGGCTGATGTGTGCATCCCTGAGACACACCATGAAGAGCCTGATGTTCTCATGTTGCTCATGTTCATCAGCAGTTTCTGCTTGCTGCGGCTCTCCCTTCTCTGCTCCACTCTGTCCTTCCTTTCTCATTCCTTCTCTCCTCCCCTTGTCCATCCTCTCTTCTCCCCTCACCTGCTCTTGTGGTTGTGGTTTTCCCTCCTCCCTGGGTGAAGGATGTAGAGGTTGAGGGGGTCAAGGGACCAACTGGGTGCTGATACTTGGATACCTTCTGGTGCTGCTGGTGCATGTGAGTCTGGGCAGAGCTTGGCCCTGGTGTCCTCTGAGAGCACAATGTCTCCCAAGAGCAATGTCCCCTGTCACCTCCAGCAATGCTGAGATCATTGGAGGTGCAGGAAGGCTCCACTGGACGCAGAGCTCAAGCATCTCCTGGAAGCAGCAGCAAGTCCCACTCTTCTCTCCTTTCCAGAGGATGTCATCTGGCAGTGGTGGCCTGATGCCACCGTGATGGGTTCCCTGTGCCCAGGCAGCATCCCCGTGCCTGTCCCCTGTCCCTATGTGTCTTTTCTCCCCTCTGACTCTCCATGACCTGCTCCAGGGCTGGTGCTCTAACCCATCTCTTGAGCTGTGCCTCACTAACGTCTCTGTCTCTGATCTTTTTCTCTCAAACCTGTGTCCCAACGGGATCGTTAAGATTCGGATTAACCGAGAGGTAAGTAGATGGTTCCCTGCTCCTCCCTCCTCTCTGCTCCTATCTCCTCCCAGCTGCTGTACTGGGCAGCGTGGCACTAAACAGCATCTGGGAGAGGCAGCCTGGGAAAATGTGTGGATAAACTTGGGGATGGTCCAGGGAAGGAGAAAGTGAGGTCTCCATGGCACGTCCTCTCCAGGGGACCATGTGATCGGAGGAGAGGTTGAATTCAACCCACAAAAATCCCCTGTGAAAGGACCCACAGTGCATGGAGAAGCCACCATTACCTCCATGCGTGTGAGGTGGTTGAACTCTGTTGGACCCGTGGCCAAGGGGTGGGACACGGTGTCCTCGGTCCCACCAGTGGCCTCACTGGGACATGCTCTTTGGGCTGTCACGTTCCTGTTAAGAGTTTGGAATGGCCCCAGTAAGTAGCTGGGAGGAAGGAAGGGAGTGGGGCCATCAGCCAGTGTCATGTGGTGGCTGCGGGATGGGATGTCATTAGTGGTGCTCTTCTGGTGGTGTTGCCATGTTCAGCAGTGATGCTGGTGGCAGCAGGAGCTGGGGTTGAGCTGGTGGACCCTGGGATGCCTGCAGGGTGCTGCTGGGGATTTTGGTCCTGAATGGGGATGAGAATTGGGGGTTACATGAATTTTTTATGATATGTGGGACATGCACCCTCCCAGGACAGGGTGCACCAGGTGCAGGGTGGTTTCTGAGCCTCCTTCTTCTCCTGCAGCAGTGGGTAGCACCATGCTGGTGGCCAGGACTTGGCTTGGTGGAGTTGCCACCACTTGGGTAACTGGGAAATGTTTAATGGGGCTGTGCCCCAACATGTCCCCCCAACCTGGGACTAACATCTCTGCTTCTCTTGCAGGGCTACCACAGGTCCAACCACTTCATAGCCACGCAAGGTGGGTCACCATCTCCCCCTGCTCTCTTGGCCACCAGTTCAGCAGCTCCTGATGTAGCAGCCAGGTTCCATCCCTGGTGGGATTTAATGTTATGTGGGGAAGGGAGGGACGGAGTGGGCCAATTTGGGGCAAATTTGGACCAAATGAGGTGATGGCAGTGTGGAGCAGCTCCCACTCCTCCTGCTGCCCCATGGCACCACACGTCCCTGGGGGAAAAGGGTCCTTAAAATGCTGTGGGGGTGTTGGTGCTGCAGAGGCAGGCGGGGGAATGCGGGGACATCGTGGTGCTGCCGTGGCCGGGCTCTGCTGGCACTGCCCATCCATCCCTGGTGGCCTTTCCCACAGGGCCCAAGCAGGAGATGGTGTACGACTTCTGGCGCATGGTGTGGCAGGAGCACTGTTCCAGCATCGTGATGATAACCAAGCTGGTGGAGGTGGGCCGGGTAAGGACCCCACCCCATCCCCTCCCTCTGGGCTCTGACTCTACCAGAAGCCTCCTCCACAGAGCTGAAACCCCATCCCATCCTCTCCTTGCAGGTGAAATGCTCCAAATACTGGCCGGATGACTCTGAGATGTACGGGGACATCAAGATCACCCTGGTGAAGTCGGAGACGTTGGCTGAGTACGCTGTCCGCACCTTCGCTCTCGAGAGGGTACGGTCCCATCCTGCCACCTGTCACCTGCCCAACTCTGCCCTTGCAGGTGGAGAACCAACCACCTTGGGCATCTCTGACCATCACTAGATTGGCATTTACCAATATCTTATTTATTTACCCCAATGTGGGGCTTTCACCTCTGGTTGAGGAGCAACTTCTGAACCCCGGGGATGCTGGTAGCTTCTTCTTTGCCTTTTCCCCGCCTCTGCCCCTCTCTGGTTTCAGCAATGAGTGAATATTTAATTTCCATCTGAGCACTGTGTAGTTGTGACAGGGGTGAAGGATGGTTTTTCTCCTCTGGGCTGGAGCGCAGGTTATGTGGCCATGACACTCCAGTGTGGGACCTGGGAATGGAGCTGGTGTAGCTTCCCCCTTCATCTCCAGGAATGTGACATTACTGTCTAGTTCTAGGGCAGGGAGCAAAGGTGCTCGTGTAATGAGATCTGTGGGTGTTGCTACCTCCTCCTCTTCCTCCTTGCCTTGTTGCAGAGAGGAGGAGGGAGTTGGATGTAGAGATGGAAGCAGCTGATCGCTTTGTGGTCCACCTGGCTGGATGCTAAGCAGCCAAAATAATGAATTCTCAAGAAAAATCAGGCATTTGGGTGGCTTGGACAGGATTTTTCCCCCCCCCTCACTCCATCTCACCCTTCCCTTGCAGCGGGGTTACTCAGCCCGGCACGAGGTGAAGCAATTCCACTTCATGTCGTGGCCTGAACACGGTGTCCCCTACCATGCCACGGGGCTGCTGGCCTTCATCCGCCGGGTGAAGGCGTCCACCCCGCCCGACGCCGGCCCCATCGTCATCCACTGCAGGTGGGTGTGTGGTCGTGGGGCAGAGCTGGCTGGGGTGGGGTTTGGGGAGGGGTAGGGATGGATGTGGAGGGGAGCTGTGCTGTGTTCTTGGTGGGTGCTCAGCCTCTGACTCTGAATGATGCTGAAATATTCAGCAGGGGAGATTAGAAAATGTGTAAGTTGGGTTTGTAGCAAAGGGAGGCTGCAGGGAAGGTGCTGGGGCTGATGACGTGAGGTTGGATGTCCCACTACGATGTCATCCAGCTGTAAAATGTCACCACCGAACTGGTGGCAGCAGGGATGAGGGGGCTGCAACTGGTCTGGGGAGGAGCGAGCAGGGAACAGCACTTTTTTGGGGGCTGCCCCACCACCTGTGACTGATGACACAGCTCTGTCCCTCTGGGTGAGGGTGGCAGCAGGGGATGGGCAGCTTGACTGCTGTTCGTGGTCAGGATGTTGGGTCTGGCTGAAGGGAGGGGTGGAGAGGGACAGTAGGACAGTCAAAGAATCATCACATCATCTAATGGTTTGGGTTGGAAAGGACCATAAAGATCATCCAGTTCCAACCCCCCTGCCATCAGCAGGGACACCTTCCACTAGACCAGGTTGCTCAAAGCCTCATCCAGCCTGGCCTTCAACACTTCCAGGGAGGAGCAGCCACAGCTTCTCTGGCGAACCTGTTCCAGTGTCTGACCACCCTCCCAGTGAAGAACTTCTTCCTAATATCTCATCTAAACCTCCCCTCTTTCAGTTTAAACCCATTTCCCCTTGTTTTGTCATTAACTGCCCTTATGAAAAGTCCTTCCCCAGCCTTCCTGGAGCCCCTTCAGGTCCTGGGAGGCCACTAGAAGGTCTCCCCGGAGCCTTCTCTTCTCCAGGCTGAACAGCCCCAACTCTCTCAGCCTGTCCTCCCATTCCCAGGATCGGCCATGGGGACACAGGAGGACACTGGTGGCATGTCTGAGCAGGAGCAGTGGCTTGCTGTCCCCTGAGCAGACGTCCCCATGCAGGGGGTTAGTGGCTCTTCCTCCGTTGGGCAAACAAGGAGGAGCTGCTGAGCAGGAGGGATTTTTTTCTTTTCTTTGATTTGATTTCTCCCTGTCGATTGTCTCATCAGTATTCATTCACTGGCAGCAGCGCGTGTGATTAGTGCCTGGAGCCTGTAATCACTGATAATCAGGACGAGTGATTCATCAGCCCTAGAAATTAGTATTTCACTGGAAAAGACTTTATAGGAAAGGAGCAGGGGGGGGTTCTGTTCCCGACGTGTCACGGGGGGTTCACAGTGTTGATAGGTCTTTGGTTGTGAGTCCAACCATGCCAGGATTTGGGAGATCTTATAGCGGCCTTCCAACACCTGAAGGGGCTACAAGAAAGCTGGGGAGGGACTTTTCATAAGGGCAGTTAATGACAAAACAAGGGGAAATGGGTTTAAGCTGAAAGAGGGGAGGTTTAGATTAGATATTAGGAAGAAGTTCTTCACTGTGAGGGTGGTGAGACACTGGAACAGGTTGCCCAAGAAAGTTGTGGATGCCCCCTCCCTGGAAGTGTTTCAGGCCAGGCTGGATGAGGCTTTGAGCAACCTGGTCTAGTGGAAGGTGTCCCTGCTGCTGGCAGGGGGGTTGGGACTGGATGAGCTTTAAGGTCCCTTCCAATCCAAACCATTCTATGATTCTATGATATCGCTGCTGCTGGATCATCTGGCTCTGGGCATCCTGCTGGGCTCAGCCTTAACCCAGGGGGGGATTCAGCCCCACTCTGTGCTGGGGGGATCCTGTGCTCTCGGTGCTGAGCATCCTCCTTGGCCGTTTTGGGATGGGATCCTGGAGGACTGTTAGAATC